GAGCAGACACAGTGCAGAGCATGATTTAAGGGAAAAGCAGTTACACCAGGACAAGAATCCACGGCCCAGGCGGCAGCGTTCAGTATCATAAAGATACCCGCTGTATGGCAGGCTTGGGGCGAGAGCCACTCCTCCTGATAAAGGAGTTGTAGGACCTTGCTCCAGTTCTTGTGGAAGGCTGCCCTCAGAACGGCAATCCACCTTGGTGACTGTGAACTTTATCAGCTCTTGCTACTGTGCTGCTCGAAAAGCATCTTCCCATAGAACCCATTGGAAGCTGCCAGAAGGTGGCGGTAACCTTGACAGCTCTGTCACTGCTGTGTGACTTAAAGCATCCGCCTATAAATCTTACAAGTAGTTTGCCCATAGATAGACGTATCGCACACTGCACCCTCTTCACTGCGCACAGCCCACCTTCAAGCCTCGGTGACCTAATGGGGGTGGACCCCTTACTGCACATGGCCCTTGCTTTCGTGGGAACGGGCCCCTTGCTGAGCGCTGTCCACCTCCTGGCCTAGGTGACCTAATGGGGGTGGACCCCTTGTTTTATTGCTCACGACCCTAACACTATCCTTAAAGATGATTTCACTCACTACCCTGCCCCCCTAACCTATACACAATAAATACACTTCTGGACATTCGGGGCCGGGCCTTGCCTCACCTCGCCAGCCTCGCCTGACTCCGCTCATAGGTGGCGTGGCCCCCCGAGCCCAGCTGCGTTTTTCTTGTACTTCTGTGTTCCGTCTCTTTATTTCTCGGATCCTGCACCTCAGCACAGCATAAGGCTCACCCCACGACCCTGTGGGGCCCTCGGCCTTTTATCTGGCTCCCAACGTGCCCTACACTCCCAAGTAGCTGGGATTACAAGCGCCCACCACCACACCTGGCTACTTTTTGCATTTTTAGTAAAGAAGGGGTTTCGCCATGTTGACCAGGCTGGTCTTGAACTCCTGGCCTCTGATGATCCACCAGAGGCTCCCAAAGTGCTGGAATTACAGGCTCACATAAGCCACCACGCCCGGCTCCTCCCGTATACCTCAAATCACCTCTAGATCACTTATGCCGCTGGTGCAATGGAAATGCTGTGTCAGCCGCTATCATACTGCAATGTCTTTTATTTGTACTGTTTTTAATTGCTGCATTGTTATTGAATCTGCAGATGTGGGGCCCGTGAATACAGGGGCTGACCACAAGCCAGCGAGAAAACAACAGCGAACGTGACGGGCCACAAAGCCCTCGTGCCGCACACCCGTGAGGGCTCCCAGAGGCAGAACCAGCAGGGCGAATGTGCAGAGCACGAGTGAGGGCGAGACTAGACACACTTAGAGAAAGACGCATGGATGGGCCGGGTGCAGTGGCTCACACCTGTAATCCTAGCACTTTGGGAGGCTGAGGTGGGTGGATCACCTGAGGTCAGGAGTTCAAGACCAGCCTGGCTATCACGGTGAAACCCCATCTTTATTTAAAAATAATAATAATGTGAAAAAGGAAAAAAAAAAAAAAAAAAAGAGAAAGACGCATGGAGACAAAAGTGGAGACACAGGGAGATGACAGACACTGACTTTAATGAACTGACTCAGGACTGGGGGAGCTAAGTCCAAAATCTGAAGTGCAGGACAGCAGGCTGGAGATCCCAGCAGGAGGTGGGGCTGCAGCTCAGGTCTCCATCTGGATCAGAATCCCCTCTTCCTTGAGAGATCTTAGATTTTTGCTCTTGAGGCCTTCAACTGACTGGGTAAGGCCCACCCACACCACGGTGAAGGTCTTCAACTGACTGAGTAAGGCCCACCCATGCCATGATGAAGGCCTTCGACTGATTGGCTAAGGCCCACCCACACCATGGTGAAGGTCTTCAACTGACTGGGTAAGGCCCACCCACACTGTGTCAAAGGCCTTCAACTGACAGTAAGGTCCACCCATGCCATGGCGAAGGCCTTCAACTGACTGGGCAAGGCCCATTCATGCCATGGCAAAGGCCTTCGACTGATTGGGTAAGCCCCACCCACCCTGTGGCAGGAGAGCTTCTGTACTCAGTATCTACTGATTTAAATGTTAATCACACATAAAAAATACTTCCACAGAAACATCCAGACTGGAGTTTGAGCAAACAAGAGGTACCAGTCCTAGCCCAGCAGACACAGAGAATTCACCATCACACACTTTTGGGGACTGATTCTGATTAACCTCAAACCCAGAGGGCTAGACATGCCCACCACGGTGCTAGGGTGACCACCAACAGTTAGTAAACGGCAAAAAGCTGAGTGACAACGTAAACCAGAAGAAGAGCAAAACTCAGAGGAAAAAACAGACGAGAAGTGGGAGACAAAGAGCAGGGTGAAGTAAAGAAATCCGAAACCTGGCCACAGCTCACGCACACCGACAAAACGTTCTCGTTAAAGATGCAAACAAGCGGCACGAAAAACTGTCTGGGGGCGTCCACGAGAAACACACCTGAATCACTTAGAACAGAAAGGCGGAAAGCAACAGGAGGAAAAACAACACATCTGACAAACACTAAATAAAGGCAAGTTAGCGTCTCTGTGTAACACACAAAGCAGACGCCAAGGCAATGGGCAAGCTGGAGACAGAGTGAGTCCACCGAGGTAAGAGATTCCATTCCCCAGAACCACGCCCCAAACCTCACATCCCCCGCCCCTGAGAACACATCTTCAGAACCTCCAAAGCCACAGGAGGAACA